ATCTCTGCCAGATCAATGGATCCAATGACTGCATATTTGACCTAATTGTCCAAGCAACGAATGTGGTTGATTCTTGATTTTGTGGAGATAAAAGACAGTTTAGAGAAGAATGTGTCCACGTGTTACCTGTTGCCTGGGAACGGTTGAGCTCTTAGAAGAAAATGCACTAAGATTCCTGCCCTCTGTCCCCCACACCACTTCTGTGCATATCTGCGATCAATCAACCAAAGGTAAGATGAAAAATAAAGAATAAGTTAAACTAAATAAAAGATCGAATGCAGAATTAAAAAAGAAAAGAGAGGACAGTTCCAGACTCTAGTTCTGCTACTTGCTTGCTCCTCTTCCTTGGAGAAGGAATATATTATTCGAAGAGGGAACTGGCTTGCAAGGGTCGTACACTTCTAGTTTGTGTATGTGTGTGTGTGTGTGTGTGTGTGAGAGAGAGAGAGAGAGAGAGAGAGAGAGAAAGAGAAAGAGAGAGAGAGAGATAGGGAAAGATCTTCCTGCTTGCAGAAAGGAGGCATTTGGTCTACTCTTTCAACCATGTGCTATTTTCTGCAAATGTCCTAATGCTTTGGAATAAAATCTGAACAATTCTTCCTGGTACGCAAGGCCTTACCTGGTCTGGGGTTTGCCTCCTTTGTAACTACCACTTCTGGATCCCTGTCCCCCAAACCCATAGGAAATAGGTTTCCAAATCCATCAGGCTTCCTGCTACCTCAGGGCTTTTGCCCAAGCTGAACCCTCTATCTAGAATCTCTCTTCATTATTTTTTGAGCAAATTAATTTGTATGCTTGAAACTCAGATCTTTACCTCCTCTATGAACCTTTTCCAGGCATGGACCTGAAGTGAGGAAGAAACACTCCGTGAAATACCTCGACAGTTGTATGTACTACACGGCTTTTTAATTATCCAATTACCTGTCTGGTCAATTGTTTTTTAAATCACTATACCACAAAGATTAATATACTAATCCCCAATAAAAATACTTGATATGTGAATCTATGTGTAGAACACAGAATAGAGTTTAGACATATAGTCACACTGATTTCATGTATCGGTTTATTTTTATACTTTTAAAAGTGGATTTATATGGGGGCGCCTGGGTGGCTCAGTGGGTACAAGCCTCTGCCTTCAGCTCAGGTCATGATCCCAGGGTCCTGGGATCGAGCTCTGTGTCGGGCTCTCTACTCAGTGAGGAGCCTGCTTCCCTTCTCTCTCTCTGCCTGCCTCTCTGCCTGCTCATGATCTCTGTCTGTCAAATAAATAAATAATATTTTTTTAAAAAGTGGATTTATACGGGCTTCCAATTTTTACATTATTAAAGGCTCTTTTTAGAAGTTCCTATCCTATATCACCACCCTTCCATAAAAGAATATTTGCACCAGAAGTGTAGGAGGAAAGTTCTTTAAGAATAAAGGCCAATCTTATAAGTCACCAAACATGGGGGCAAATTCAGCAGAGCACTACAGCCTGGCCCAAGATCATGACCCTGCATCAGAGCAGTATTTGGCATCCACTAACTTACATTCTCTTCCTCAAGTTTAATCTGTCACTGAGGACTTTATAGGGCAGAAAGCAAACAATTAATTAGAGGGAGCATTTTGTGAGATTGTCTAACAAATAAACGAGGATTCTCTTTGCTGATTGAGGCTAGATCCACACGCTTTGGTAACCAGAGGAAATCGTGGCAGGTTTGACAATCTCTTATGAAAAGTGAGTATATTCTTTAATCCTCACACCCCATCATTCCCTTCATAGCCACCGTTTACACCACATCACTCACCCTGGCTTGGCGGCGATGCCGTGCCTAGAATGAAACATGAACCTGCTCCTCTTTCTACCGGCTTCATCCCAGGCTAAATGCAGCCACCCGTCCTTAGCCTCTGGCAGAGTCTCTAGAGCAAAAGCAGCATAGAGACCGCGCCCAGAGGGAGCACAGTTGCCGGGGTTATGGGTCTGGCAGGGGAAGGCCAATCTTTTCAGGAGGCTCAGGCTTCCTTTGCAGGAGCTTACTGACTTTGAAGTAAATCTTTGTAATTGTTTTCTGTTAGATTTAGGAGAAGTCTGAAAGCTGTCAGTGAGTGCAGAGGTAAATGAACTAACGTGAGGAAGGGATGAGGATGTGGGATGCTACAGAGTAGGTTCCTGATGATGGACACTGAATGGTCCCTTGGGCTGGGGAAGGCCAGGGCACCCTCTCGGATGGTCTACCACTGAGAGTTTCTCCTATTCATCTGCTGTGTGTTTGACTACATAGATCAACTATGGAAAAAATCTTCATTTAGGAGACGGTGGCCTCCATGAGTGATAGGAGATAAACTCATGGAGGTTTTATTCGTTTGTTTTTTTTATCAGAGACCTGAGATTTTGTTACTGAATGTTAAGCAGGATACTCTGTCAGGTGTTCAATTAATACCTTGGAAGCATATGATAACCTTTCAAAATAAAATCTTAGAAAAGAGAGGGATGGAATTCCTTGGCTATGTCTGACTGTAGCTTTTTATTTTCTTCAAGATTTCATTTTAAAAAGGGATTTATAGCCCACGTTATTTTCAAAACAAAGTAGGGAGACAGAAGTTTAGTAAGGAAATGAAGTATTACGATATACATCCACAAAAAGAAAGCACGACACAAGAGATTAGTTAGCCAAGCATAGCATTTTGTTTCTAAGTTTAAGGCGATAGGGCAAAAAGTTAGGGTTTTGTTACCATGGCATTAGATAACAACTGAAGGAAATGTGCAAAATCATTCACGGGGACAATTTTTTTTTCTTCTGGAACTATACTCAAGTATGATCTTGTTTCATTGGTGTTCATATAGGGACATTGAAGCAGTAGGTTGGTATCGGGTACAATTTATAGAAATGCTATTTTAAAAGACTTATCATATGAATACTTTGTAAAGGTTACGGCTTAACATTAAATTAAAACTCATGGAAAGCATTTCAAGTTGGGAAGGGATCTGAGACAACAGGGTCCAAATAAATGCCATGGGACTGACTCTCTCAAATATCTGACAGTACATGCCGCCCTCTAGCAGGTGCTGGGGGATCAGCTAATGACCGAATTCTTTAGCAAGTACTTGGAGGACAAAAATTCTGTTCTTAATTTAGAGTTGCATGCTCAGGCCCAGCCCTCGACTCAAAGATTCAGAATCTCTAGGGGGAAGCAGAAGCCAGGAACCAACCAACCTACCTACCTATCTATGTATCTATATATCTATCTATCTATATTTTGTAACTATTGGGTGTGGAGCCCAACGCAGTCTTGAACTCACAACCCTGAGATCAAGCCCTGAGCTGAGATGAAGACCGGATACTTAACTGATTTATGTATTTAATTAATTTATTTCTTTAATAGATAATTATATATTATAACTTATCTATATAAACATATTATAAATTAATATATTATAGATTATATTATAGATTATAGATAGGCAGCCATAGCTATATTTTCATAAAAGCACTACTGGCAATTTTTAGGCAAGACATGGTTGGGAAGCCCTGTTTTAGGTCAGAGTCTGGTTTTGAGAGTTGTTTAGTTCAACTGTCTCTAAAAGGGCCTCTGTGGATGCAGCCTGTGTGACAGAATAGGGAAGAGGAAGCCCAGAAGAGAGCACAATAAGACAGAACTCTACCAGTACCTGGTTTTCAGGCTGCTCTCCTCCACCATCTTTTGGTCATTGTTTTAATAATCATCATGGAACATATGACTTTAAGAAACTATTGAAAAGACTTCATATTGGGAGAATGTTTTCAGGGGAGATTCCCTGTTCGTCATTTCCCACAGTTCTGCTTTAATTACTCAGTGGGACAGAGACTCATGTTGGAAAGCTGAAGTAAAAATAAATGTAAGCTCTAAAATTATTTTTTCATATAGAAAACCAACCAACAGATAGACCAAGAGATAAAGCAACTCTTTTTCTCAAAGCACTTCTATGCGTGCTTGACTGACTTCAAAATCCATTACTGTAACATACAAGCTACAATTTAATTCTGAAATTTGTAAGTTGGACTTCACAGCTCACTGCTTATCCCTTATCCCTCTTCTGCGTACTCTCTCATACTTCATCTATGTCTGTTTGTGATATCTTCCCTCATTTCCAACACAGTTCTCCTTTAATGCTGCCCTTAAATTTAATTCTTATTAATCCAGGTACTCTAGATGTCATCTGTATAAAAATGTTCCCATGTACATGGACAAAGGAGGGATTGGAAAAGGATGTGCCATATAAACTGTGATTTATTCTGTATTCCATATATGTATAGGGTTAAAAAAAATGGCAGATCTGCTTCAACCTACATGTTAAAAATTAAAGATCAAAGTTTGATTCGACATTGACATTCAATCCTCTCAATGTACCCAGGCATAAAAAGTGTTTCTTAAACCCTACAAGGGTCAATACTTTGTAAGGCATGAGAACACACAAATCCCTCTCAAACGTATGGAGTAGAAAAAAGTACCCCTTGGAGCAAAGGGGGAAATCGAGGCACAGAGGAGTGCAGCATTTGCCCAATGTCACCCAGCCCATGAGTGACAAGGCCAGGCTTCAGGAATAGGTTTCAAATCCACTCCAGCCATCCGTCACCGACACATGGTGGAAAGAATGTTAAAGGCGAAGAAATAGTTTCCTAGAATAAAGTTACAGCAGCCTGAGTATCCTGCAGCTGATAACTGGGGCATCAATTTCCTTTGAAATGCAGGGCCCTAAATAATCAGCTTCTCTAAGGAAGGTACAAAAGACTCAGTGCTATAATTTATGATGCTGATCCTGATCTACAATTAGAATTCAGAGGACCTGGAATGTCAGATATAAAGAACCATTAATATAATCTCTTTGTCAATATAGAAAATTGCTAGTGTTCCCCTATCTTTACAACACCTACTTCTTATTAAAAAGAATGCAATAGGCCATCTTCCATCTATAATAAATTTGATAAGACCACCAGAGTTCAAAATGCATATTTAAGGGAATGAGATAAAGGTCTGCTTACCCCTCCTTCATGTCATTAATGGGAAGCGGAACTCTGCCGCCCCTGTCCAGGGCTGACGTGATGTTTATGGCGTTCAGACGCTCTGGCTGCCACACGTTCTTCACCGCCCCAAGAAAGTCTCCAAGAACCTCACTGGCCAACATTTCTTCTACATTCATGTTTTTAATGAAGAATTCTGCTTGGTATGGTAACGGGAAGTCTAATTTTGGCGAAAAAGGGTATGCATATCTTTAATGAAGTTGTCTTTTGAAAGAGAAACAACAAAACAATTCGAGACTTGTTGATCTCTGTCACAATCCTGGCTTTGGAGAACACTATTAATATTGACTTTAAAGGCTTTCTGTACAACAGAGGATATAAAAACATAACATATATTTGACACAAAATTTTACCTACAGTGTAATCAAATCCAAGGGATAGTGGGCAATTTATAATTATAGGATTTGGCCACAAAAGAAAAAACTGACAAATCTGTCTCAATTTTGCCAGTGACCTGTCAGTCTCCTCCTCTGCCAAGGTACCCAGGTAGAAGCATTTCCAGAACCCTCCATGGGTAGGGACAATATTTTGTATTCGTAGTGTTTTCAAATTGACAGATCTTGTTTCAAGGACATTGTCTTATTTAATTGTTACAACCTTAGGTAGTGCTATGTTCATTTGAACAGAGGAGAAAGTTGAGGCGCAGAGCAACATCCTTCCCAAATAAGACTTCTCTATTTGGGAAGGATGTTGCTCTGCGCCTCAACAATTACAAAATATCTGTAATTACTTGTGAGTTGTTTATGTATAATTTGAAATACCTTCTTTTTAATCTGCAATATTACTGATCTTTTTAGAGCATACTAAAACATTACTTTTAGAGCATGCTAAAACAAACTATGTTCCAAAAGAAATCTGAAATCACAATAATTTCACCCTTTTGATCACTTCATCATTAAATATTCTAGAGAATTATATTTTTAATTTCCCACAAAATTCCACATCTCATGTTATTAGAGATTTAGCTTTTTTCCTCTTCAGTATCTCATCAAACTTTCCCTCTAAAGATTTTAAAATTAATATTTATTTTAAAGTAACCAATGTCCAATTCAGACTCTGGGTATAACAAAGTAGGATGGAAAGAAACAATTTACAGTTGAACCTTGAGCAACAGAGTTGGAACTATGTGGGTCCGCCTATATGTGGATTTTTTTTATATAATGCAGTACTGTAAATGTATCTTCTCTTAGGATTTTCTTAAATTTTCTTTTCTCTAGCTCACTTTGTTATAAGAATACAGTATATAATATAAATGTAACATACAAAATTAGACTTATTTATGTCATCATCGGTAAGACTTCTGGTCAACAGTAATCTATTAGTAGTTAAGTTTTTTGGGAACTAAAGGTTATACACAGATTTTCAACTGTTCACGGTCAGCACCCCTACCCCTGCATTGTTCAAAGCTCATTTGTATTTCAGTTTCTCAAATGTTACTCTTTAATTAAAAAAAAATCATTTCCTACATTCTGATTGTTCTATTAAGGAATAGCTTTGTTTCTTTAATAATATTTCCATAATAATAAAGGCTACCTTTTTTAGAATACTTACCATGAGGTGGGCCAAGCTAAAGGGATTGCGATGAATCATCCCATTTAATACTCACAACCCGAAGGTGAGTCGGTACTTGCCCTGTACTTTCAGAGGAAGAACCAATCTGTAGAGGGGCCCAGGATTTTACCATCATTTGAACTTGCCTCAGATGATTTTTATCTAAGCTAAAGGGGACTGTATACAAAGTGCTCAGTGGAGCTCCCAGCCTAGAATAAGAACTTATAAAATAGTAAACTTTAGCAATTATGATAAATAATATGAACAAGTTTGTTTACCTCAGAAGGAAAAGAAATTGTTTCTGGACTATACACACATTTAAAGCCTACATTTATCCTCTGATGTAGTTCCTTAAAACTCATAGATCTGTAAAGTATTACACTCTTATTCAATAACTAAGTAAAAACTAAAAATTACACAATAAATAACTGAAATCATGATGACCTTGTTTCTTATGAAGCCTCCTTAATGCTAAAGGATGCCTGATGCCAGAGCTGAAGTCAGGGAAGAGAAGAGGTTCAGGCTTTAGAATTTTCAAGAGAGTTTTCTGGAGTGTGGTGTCTCTTCCTAAAGATTTTTTCATGACTCTAATCACAGAAGGTTCTTTCTTCATCTTCTACACTGCCATTTATCCTGCTTGTGATTTTGTTAGATTTGTTTGATGTATGGCCCATCTGCAGTCTTCTAAAATATGATATATTTATGCTATTTTATGTAGATAAGTTTCCTGTTTTATACAGATACATTTCCTGTTTTATATAGATAAACAGTAGCTTAATCATGCCACATTTTTCTCCATACTGAAAAACAGCCATGCATAAATATGTCATGAAGAACAGTTTCCTGGCAATAAATAATATTTATAAATAATACCAAAGATAGTTTTGAGTGTGCTAGAAGTCTACCATCCATTCATTTCACTCAGTGTTTTTATACCCACTTTTCTAAAGAAGCATGCAAAACAGCTTTCCTATTTTCAATGCTCCGTTTTGGAGAACTGTTTCTTGGTTTTTCCTAATCCAGGTGACCCTGCTTCGTGGCTCCTCTCTGAGACCTGCTGCCGCCACACCCTTAGAGGCTCTGGGCCGAGCAGCTGCGGGCCGTCTACCACGCCGAGCACTACTGCCAACCCTTCCAAAGATGAGTCACAGGAGCTTTCTAACTTTGGGGAAATCCCATGCCTGCTATATTTGGACATCACAGGGGCCAAGGGAACAGTAGGCCAACAGACTGGTGGCAGGCCTCTGAGACTCTCAACCCAATTTAGAGAATCACTCTATGTCCTCTCCTTGAGCTTTGTGCTCTGTGATGCTACATGACTAATTTCCCATTAGGTCTCCCAGAGCAGGAGACAGCTGGGCGGGGAGTCAGACTGAGCATGATTATCCTGAAATGCCACTCTTGCTGTTTCTTTTCCTAACCTCATCTGGGGAAAATGGTGTGTGTGTGTAGGCCCTGCTTAAAGATGTGTCCATCCTCCTGCCCGAAGACGGTCCATCCAGACCAGCACGGATAGAGGCATGCTACCTAGTTCACTGGCTTTCATATATAAAAGGCAGCAGGGCAGCTCTGCCTGAGATAAAAGCAGAGGCTTCCAAATCCCATCTGGTGTTCCTCCCTGACCAGCCCACCTTCAGAATCCCCGATGCAGATGAATAGCCTGTAAAGCCAACCTCCAATCCTGCAGAGGTCTAGCAGTCTTCCATTAGTATCTGCTTGAACACGGGTCCCTGCATATCAAACACCTGTATTCTGTATTCTGTATCTACCAGAACTGAGATCAGACTCAAGGAGGAAGTTCAAACTGTAGACCAACCTGTCCTTCTGTCTGTAGGGGCTCCTGTACCTGAGAATGGGGACCCCCTCCCCCGCACCCTGGGAGCATAATGGTGACGTTAGTGATCCAAGCGCACTGTCTGGTAACCATTTCATTACACTGAGGAACTCCTAAGGAGAGAGGGGGTTTTGTGATGATTCTGATCATTAGTGGTATCCCACTATGGATCCCACTATGGATACTGGATGCAACCATCTAATTACAATTGAAGGTGGGGGCAAAAGTCTTCCTGTTCCAAGCAGGAATACCTACCAAAAGCCCTTGGGAAGTAGAAAAGGGGACAGGGAATCTTCTGTCCAGGCCCACAGAACTGGCATTTTCACTTGCTTTTCATATATGAAGGCCACTTTAAACTTTAAACTGGCATATTTGTGGTCTGCAATTGATACTGCCAAAATACCTGGGGAAAAACTCACGTAAAAGGGTTTGAAATCTCGAAGCAATCTACCAGGTTATGTTGTGCAGTATCAAGTCTATAGAAATTACTTTCCTTCATATAGTATAAAGGCAATTTTTAGCTCAACCCTTACTGAACTACCACAAATTCCAAATTAGTAGGTCCTAATAAAATGTTTCATGTTTGCTAATTTAATTGTATTAGCAAATAGAACTCTGAATTACCTATTAAGGGTGCATAATTGTTTTACTAATTTTAGGGGTAAAAATGCTGTGTCCGTTCTCCTTTTGTTATCCTCAGAAATGATATCTAGGGCAGAGAGGCATATCCCGTGATATATAAATTTTAACTACAAAGTTTTTAGCAGTAGGTATTTTTCCCAATCAAATGCCAAAATCAGATCAGACTATTTGAGAACACGATTCTTGGAATATAATAACCTTCCAAATCCTTGGGAATCACTTACCATTCATGTATATGTAACTCCAAATTGCTGATGGACTCGGACAATGCATGATTAGCTATTTAGGAAGGAGACTATGACCCAAATTCCAGTTTATTTCCATCAACAACTCTCTGTCCTCACATACAGTTAAGCCACTACCAATGATCAGTTTCAAAGTAAAATTATAAATCTAGCTACTAAGGACTGATTATGCACCCTGTGCTCTGCCCTGTTTTAAGCACATTTCAATCCTTAATTCATGGACTGCTTCCTTACCCCAGACTTGGGAGAGAAATGCTAGTCTTAGTCTCATTTTGCAGAAGATGAAATGAGAGCCTGCAGAGATAAGTGGCCTATGTGCTTGGCTCTCTAGTCTGAGCTTCTCAGCGCCATCACCCATCATGATATTTTATAACCAGTTACAGATAGCTTGGGTTTCTTTTCTACACATTACCATTTTGTTAGTGACATTAGGTATGTGGTACCTGAAAACCCTTTACTGTATTTTGCACAGATATAATGAAATACTTCTTGCAAATAAGAAAACAATCAGCCACATATCTTCCATACCTACCTTCTGCTGACATTATATTAATTATCAAATTATGCCTTGCAGTCTCAAAGGTACGCCTATTGTAGGCAGTTATCTATTAGAAAAAGAAAATCATATTAAAGAAGTGAAATGTTATTTGGGAAACAGAATTCATTAAAGATAAAATGAAAACAAATTGTCGTTCTTTCCATTTTCATTATTTATGTACTCACAAAATGTGCCTTCTCCAGGCAAGAACAACTCAGAGCTTTTAGCAATGTTATGGGAAAATAAATAATTAGGCAAGTCTATTTAACATGCTAAAACAAAAAGTTAAAATCAGGAAGACCCTTTTATGGAAGAGTGTTAAGTGCTAGCAGCAATGCAGATGCGTCATTAGTAAATGGATTAACCATTAGAAATTACTTACCGCTGCCCATCTAAGATTTCAAAAACAAAAGAAAAAATACAATACATTTTCGTACTTTTCAATGGAGCTTGAGGATTATGCTAAGAAGCACCTTCTAAAAAAAAGCTTATCTTCTGTGTTGCTTGTATTCAGTACCAAACTGCACACCATCCAGTCAAAATATGCATGTATGACCCTTTAGAAATCATATCTCCCTTAGGATGGGAGTAGAGCACTAAAGGTCATAGTCTATAAGGCTTATACCCCAAAACACAAATCAATCCCTTTGTAGAGTCCAATATTAGTAAACATTTGCAGAGCCAATGAACTTACATCAAAGTCAACTCAGAAACAGTCACTGCAAACAACAAACAAAGCAAAGGCCAACAACAGGATATGGCTTCAAAAATTAAGGAATAATTAACTTCATAACAGATATTAAATCACTCAGACAGGTCTGCAGTACCTCAAAAACAACAAATGACCGTGTAATAGTCTGAGCGTCCCAACACCAGCCTCCTGGCAGTGACTCCAGCTGGAGTGAGCACGGAGACAAGAGAGTGGGACAAAACGGACTCAAATAAAAAAGAACAATCTTCCCCGTTTAAAAATAAATATCAAAGATTTTTACAGTGTTGTATCTGAGCTTTAAATGAAGGAAATCACACTTATCAGAAATAAGATTTGAAAGGAAAAATAGAACACCAGAATTTTGGAATAAACAAATAAATATTTGAAAAATACTCCAAATATTTCAAATATTCCAAATATTTCAAAGTACATATTCTGAAAAACATATTATTGCACAAAGTTAAAAGGATTTCTTTGTCCGCAATTTGTCAAATTTCTGTTGAATTTAATGACTTCCTTGTTGCTATCTGTTGGGACACATAATCAACGAGGTTCACCAAGGACACTAAAATTAAGACTAGTCATTAAAATAAATCAGGAACTATTGTTCAGCAAGAAGCAACTGAAAGGAAGCAAAAAAGACTTGAGAATCTTCCTGATTTTAAAGGTTTACCCTGCAGAAAATTTAATCGTACTCTCAAAGGAAAGAAGTATCCATTTTCTACTATTTGTTAGATGATCTCATGGCTAAAACTCAGAAACATTGGACATTTTCTAGTTAGTGGCAGGATTTTATGTCTAGCCATAATTATCACAAATTTTGTTATTATAAATTCATAAATTCTAATTTTTTTTAAAGTCACAGGCCACTAAAGAGGGTGAAGTATGTTTCACAAATTAGGAAGAGAATTTTGTTATCTGAATTTATATTTAAAGTTTAATTTTAACAGCTGTAACAGAATGCAGTCCTTCTATCACTTCTAATGAGATATTGAAATACAGTAACATTCTCAATCAAATTTTACTTATCATGACGATGTGAAGCCCTTCAGAGCAGACAGGTATCATGTGTGTACATTTTTTGGATCCCTCATTTCTAGAACAGTAGCTGATCTATTTTAGATGCTTAATAAGTATCTACTGAATAAATTCATCAGGGGGTTATCTGATTAAATGTGAGTTTAAGGTATACAAAACTCTTTTTGACTATATTAATAGAATATTTTTAAATACTGTAAATATGTTACTATATATGAATAAAGAAATGTTATTTACAGATAAATCACTTGCATTAAATGAAACAGATGCAAAATTTTCACCATTATCTTTTTAGCATATTATTTGACATATTCATAATATTATGTTAGTAGTACGTACAAAAACAGCATAAACCCCTGAGAATCCTGGCTCAACCCAGGTGTGTGTCTCCTATTCCTCTCTTCAAGTAGCCATTTTGAGTTTCATGCTTATTTAATTAATTTATTTTAATTATAGTCTTATTATAAATGCATGTATGCTTATAATAACTTAGTTCGCTTGTTTTTTGAGCAGAGAAATGTTTAACTCTGCGTAGTCTTTTGGGATTCATTTTTTTATTCAACATCATGTTTACCACATTTATCTTTGTTGTCGGGCAAGCTGACGTTCACTGTTGCTATAAACATTCAGTGACTTGTAATAGAGTTGTATAGAGACAGATGGTACTTCACTTGTGCTGAGTATAGCATAACTAGAGAATTGTCAAATCACTATGTTGTACACCTGAAACTAGGTAGCATTGTGTGTCAACTCTACTAAGAAATTTTTTTTTAAAATTCACTGTTTGAAAAGGCCCCATTTTTAAAAAATCTATTCTGCTGATGAATTTTTGTATCTGTTCTCGTGCTGAGAGACTTTCGGGTCTCCACTGTTCTGTGGATATCCAACATTTTGCTATACAAACATTGTTCAATAAGCATGATTGTCCATGCCTTCAGAGGACGTTTGTAAATGTTTTTGGGGGGATATGCCTAGAAGTGGGACTGCTGGATCACAGGGTACAGTGATACTCAGCTATGTGAAATATTTAATACTATACTGTTTTCCAAAATACTTATCCAATCCTCATATCCACCCTCAATGACTTTTTACCAAGGGTAAAATTCTCATTGTGGTCTTAATTTGAACATTTTTCATTACTGATGAGAGTAAGTGTCTTTACCTATGATCATTTTTGTCTTTAGTGAAATGTCTGTTCATGTCTTATTTCTGATTTTCATGTCTTATTATAGGAGTCCTTTTTTCTATTTTAAATACACATCATTAGCCAGCTATATATTTTTAAAAGAACTCCCAGTTTGTAGGTTGTCTATTTATTAAATGGTTTGTTTTGATGAACGCCAAGTGACAAGTTTAATGTAGTAAAATTTCTCAATCTTTTTTCTCAAGTAAAAATATGTCGGTATTACTTAAGAAGTGCTTCCCTACCCCAAACTCAGAAAAATATTCTTCAACATTTTCATATACTGGTTTAAAATTTTGCTGTTCATGTTCAGATCCTTAAACTATCTGGACTTGAGTTTTGCATTTCCTATGAAGTAAGCATCTAATTTTACGTTTGCCATAGGGCAAACCAGTTCTCTGAGCACCATTCAATAGATGTCCTTTTCCCTAATAATCTGCGGTACCATTGCTTCTGATATACATCGTTCTTCCTTATGTTGATATATCTGTTTCTGGGCTCTCTATTTAGAGCAACTGGTTAATTTGTCTATCTCTGCATCAATACAACCTTATGATAGTTATTATAGATTTACAGTAAATCTTGATATCTGGAAAGGAAAGAAACCTTTCCCCCTTTTTTTCTTCTTTAGGAGGAGCTTGATTGTTCTTGGCCATTTATCAGCTTTACAAATTTTAGAATTAGTTGACATTAGTTTCATGAAAAAACCTATTGCAATTTTTATTGGAATTGCATCGAATCTATAGATCAATTAGGGGGAAGTGATGCCTTCATGATTTCGAGCATTTCTATCCCTAAAGAGATGACTACCTTTTCACTTACAATCTTAGTGTCACTTACGTTTTATGACTCTCTCCATACAAACTTTTCATACATTCTGTTAGATTTATTCTAAGTACCTTATAATTTTGTTGTTATTAAAAATGGTATATTTTAAAAACATTTATTTTCTCAATACTTGTTTTTCATGTACAGAAATAAAACCAAATTTTTTATATTGAGCCTATAGCTGACTGCTAGACTTTCTTAAAATTTCAGTAGTCTGTAGACTCTTTGTATCATTGACTATTCTATTTTTTTTCTTAAATAGTTACAGATTTAATTTTTTTTTTCTTTACTGCACTGGCTAGGATTTCTAATATATTCTGTAACAGATGTGGTGGAGGGGTTCATTCTTGTTTTGCTCTTCAATTTAAATAGAATTCCTCTGTGTTTTCCCATTTAAAAAATGACATTTGCTATTATTTTAGGTAAATAACATACAACTTCACTGAATATTTTTAAAAATTATTTTGACAATAACTCAAAATAACTTTCTTCTATCTATATTTTCTATATCTATATAGATGCAGGGGTCTATATATTCTATTTCTGTATCTATATATTGTCTTAAGGAATCAGATTTATTAATAGAAACCATCGAAAAGTAGTGTTAATACAAACTTCAACTCAAAGGAAGAAACACCTTCTCTTGGCGGACGTGGAAATTTATGGCAGATTAAAACTCTGGAGGAAAAACTCAAAGCATGTAATTCCCTAAGGATTTATACCACAGAAAAAACATACCACTCAGGACCTGTACAAGCTCCTGGAAATTCCATTTATAGGTCCTATGGTGCTGCCCTGCTCACTACCACTAAACCTTTATGAAATTGATCAGTTAAATTAGAATCTAAGTTCCTGTAGGCATTAGGACATAAAGGACTCTCCTGCCATTAACTGCCATTATAATTCTGATTTTGGTGGGTAGAATAGACGAGGAAACACATCTTGATTTTATATCCATTTATTTTTAAAATGTATTAATTCCCATTAAAGGCTCAATATTAGTATTGTTTTCTAATTCCTAATTCCTAATTCCAGGTAAGATGTTAGGTGCTAGGCTAGAATCTGATGAATTCTAATACCACCCATCCCTCCAGAATAAAGGTCAAACCTCTCAGCATGGCTTAGAAACCCCTCAAAGATCTACCCCTACCAACATCAACACCTCTGTTTTGCCCCCTGGGGTGTGTCTTGCCTACCAGCCACAGTTAGAGTTCTTAGAGATCATGTGGTTTTGTTCATACCTCCAAGATTTTGATGTGTTGTTTTGCTGACTAAGACAGCCTTCCTTCTACGTGTGAAGTGAATTCCTATTTACCCTTTTATGATTCTGCATCAAACAGTATCTTCTAATTAGAATGGTTATAACGATGTTGGCTAACAATGGATTTCCATTCCAGTGCTTCAATGACTGGACCAGACTCGTGGCAGGGCTCACCTCTTATTCATCTTTCTACCACCAGCAGTTATCATAATACCTAGCACATGGTAGAGGCTCATCAGATCTCTGTATAAAGACTTTATTTCAGTGAACATGAAAATTTGAAATTAATATATAAAGCAAATAAGTGTTTTAAGTTTGTATTTATTATCTTAAATGGAATTCTTATTATAATAATCTACCTTTTCAAAATGTCTTTAAACGGTTTCCCCTAATTTAGATTGCTCTTTTTTATATATAAAAACTAAAACAAAGACCTTTGTAGATGAACAGAAAGGAATGGTACATTTCCAAATGTTACCTAACATGTTTCTGTGCACAAAATACTGAAAACCACTGTGATAAAATTTTAATTTCAACATTTGTAACTAAAATGACAAAAACCCCAAAATATAATTCTGCTGTTTCTAATTAAATTACCTCAATTATTGTTGGTTTCCCCACATTTTCAGCTGTTGGAGACCCATATAGGACTCCATCACTATATGGCGTCCTTTGGATATATCGAAGCCATCCAGGTCGGTCTGGGTAACCCATTAAATTTGTGTTAAATGTTATAGGATCATTACTAATCTCACCTAGATAAGAAGCACAGAGTCAAGACATAAGTTATTTTCACACATGTTGCCTTCATCATTTCAATCAAAATATTTCTAAAATCTTTTCTTACATTTGTAGCAAACTAAATACACACCAAAAAAAAAAAAATCCATCTGGGAATTTAGATTAGAGCCTCAAGTAAATAAAAATTCTTTTTAGTTATTTAGTTCGCCTAGAAATCTCATGTAACAAAGAAAACGGTCATACGATGTCTTTGGGAATTTTGTCTTCTGTTTTTCTTCTTCTTCTTCTTTGTTTTTTTTTTTTTTTTTTTTTTTGGTCACACAGGAGTGTGAAAGTTCTGCCAACAAGACAACTATCTTTTGGGAAAATCTCCTAATCATGCTGATGTATTCGTTCTCTTGAGAAGACTTTCTTTCATAAAACTCTGGACACTGTCAAACTAATCTCAAGGGATAGCTCAAAATTATAAAAGGGTCATCAAAACAAAAATAATGTAATTTTAAAACTTTGGAGAATGAGTTCCTAAATCCAAAAGAACTGTAACTAAGAAACAGTAACAATAGCATCATTTGTTAGAATGTTCCTGGCCTCGACAGACACAATTTCACCTGATTTTCAAACATACCTATAAAGTAGTACTATTATTAGCCCTAATTTTAGTAATGGGATATGTAATTTTTCATGTTAAGTAACTTCTCAAATGGTGAAATTAGAATTTAATCTCAGCTGATTCCAGAAACTATGCTCTTACCTACATATTTTCTTCCCAAACGTTGGAGCTACTGTTCAAAAGGTTCAGCTACATAGTTTTGCAAACACAGACTGCCACATAAAAAAACATTTTTTAAATAACTGATCAAAAGATTACTTTTTCTTACTGCTGGTGAGAACATGGTTAACTATTTTCTATGACTGTTTTCAGGTATGTTATTCATCATATAATCTATGAAAATAATATTTATATTAATTCTATGCTATAATTTTCAGAAAATTCCTTTTTGTTACTTACGAGTTATAATAACAACATTTTTTTCTTGCTATTCTTTCTATATCTTCATTAATTTGATGGCATTTGTGACAAACCAACGTAACATAATTTAAAACAATGGTGAATTAAATAAAGCATCGTAATTGGTATTATTTTGAAGGAAAATTAATCTCTATTATATTATTATGAAGTTATATAAAATGATCTCATACTGTAAAACCTTCTTTGAAAATTCTTTAATACCATATTTCATTCTCTTCTAAAACATGTGTTTGGTCTTGCAAAGATCAATGTACTGTGTAAGAATCTAAGTCTTAATACAGAAAATAATAATTGTACAGCTATAATTATTTCTATGCAAACATAGGTAGGTAGGTCATTTGTCAGATGCACAAAACTCAACACTGGAAAACTAGAAATAAGCATTTTTTTAAAAATTCAAAAATGAATTATTTCCTTCTGTAATTAAATTTCTAATCTTAAAATTAGAACTGTCCTACAACAACCAATTTGTCACATATACAGACCATTTCAAATAATGTTAATAATATTTGATCAAAAATCATCTAAATTATGGATGCTGAACAAAAAGAAAAATTTAGCAAATTAACCACTTTTTTTCCCCACTGAGAACATACCAGGCTTGGGGTAAGGTGGAAATTCCCCCTTAAAATACTCTCTTTCCAAAACATGAACAAAGAGGACACCTGCGGACGGGTATACATTCCGATCAGAGTGCACCTTCGAGAAAATAGTGTACACTGAAAACAAAGAGGAAAGACACAAGATAGAAAGACAAATAATGAGATATACTTTCAATAATTTTTACACTAAAGAAGGGTTTCACTTCTTTAGAAATTTCTGGGAAAACTGAAGCAACATGCAAGATATTGTTAAAAGTTTGTTTTAAAGGGAAGTGATTTCAGGACAAAACATGGAACAACTCTTTCAACATGGTGTGTTTAGAGACTTTCAAATATGTAAACAAAATTAGGCACATTTAATGATTTAAGTTGTTATTAAATAATGAAGACATTCGTAATATTTTTTCAGTAATTTCTTTTTATGGGCATTATTACCAACAAAATATATCATGAGAACTGACAAACTACATAATTACTACAGTTTCTCTTTTTCCTTTTTTCAAAGTGAAGTCTGAAGAGTAATTTTTTTTTAAAGATTTTATTTATTTATTTGAGAGAGAGACAGTGAGAGAGAACATGAGCGAGGAGAAGGTCAGAGGGAGAAGCAGACTCCCCATGGAGCTGGGAGCCCGATGTGGGACTCGATCCCGGAAATCTGGGATCATGACCTGAGCCGAAGGCAGTCGTCCAACCAACTGAGCCACCCAGGTGTCCCTGAAGAGTAATTTTTAAATGGTAAGAATCTAAACTGTATTAACTATTCACTAGACATAGCATATGAGACTATGGTATTATATAGTACCATCAGTATATGTAAGGTTCATATACATTTACATTGGATATGTTTTCTGTATTATTATTTGTATCTCTCCTCGTATCTCTCCTTTATCCCATTTTACCTGATCTTGACATTTTATAATTCACACAATATAATCTATTCTACTATGCTATATTCTAAATAAACAAAAACAATCAGATAATAAAGTTCAGGGTAAGTAATTTTGTTAAATGAAATGGGGCAGATTTCATGATTTGCTGATTGCTTAAGATATGTGATGTGAGTACACTAAAATGGCTAAATTGGTTTGATCAGTTCCCACATATTGTTTTTTCTGTGGTATCATCATCTCCACCAACACATTACTGCCATTACACTTGTCACTTCTATAATCTCGTTCAGTTTTTCTATCTTCCTGATTGGCTAGTGGTTGCAATTTTTAAACAGATAAATCCTATCAGGTCAGTTCTTTTTTCTTAAGTCACTAACGGATTTGTAAATGTAGTAATTAACTTTGAGAACTTCAAGGTTGCTCACCCTAGGCTCACAATGAACTAAAAGCCCTGGATAGCAAGATCACTGACAGTAAGTTTTTCAGCATAAAAATAAGGAACTCCCACAAAATGTTTCTTTATCTGTGAAAACTTGTCCCTGCCGTTCTGTGGATGGCTGCCAAAAATGGGGAACTGAACTAAAATATTTGGCTTGTAGTTTCATGCATCCATAGCTTTGCTACTAAAAACACAGCTTCAAAGGCTGTGTAACAGACGGAAGGAAGCTGCAAGTTATATTTCAGCTAGGTATGTAGAGAGACGACTCCTTTCTTGACCTGCTTTGCTAGTTTTCCTAAGTAGTCTGTACAAGGCATTTAGAGGACCCAGCTTCTTCTCCCCAAGAACAATTTACTCACCTGTGGAAATGGTCCCATTCCAAAGAACAAGAATGAACAAATCACAGAAAAACAGTGACGATGAGAATTTGAGATTTTTTTCTCCCGTTGGGCTCCACAATGTCCCCTGAGTGCTAGGTGCTGTGGAGAATGTGACACATTCTCTGTGGAGAAGGACACTCAGTCCCTGCCTTCCTTCTGGCTTAGGAGACCAACGCCTACCTAACTAGGTAGGATCCCTGAGGTCTAAACTCCTCTGGCAATACCTGGAAAGATGTCGAGGAGCAATGGAAGCTGGAGAAGATCTGTAAAAGATTTATGTAAGAAGTAGAATTTGACATGGCTCCTAAAATACTAGCAAGATTGTGAAACTCATAGATGAGGATTTGGGTATTTCAGCAGTGAAAACTTGTACAAGATAGAACTGTGGGATAACAGGGTACCTTTCAAGGAAAAAAATTAAGCCAGTGATCCTGGAGCATAATTAAGGTAAAAGGAGAAAAACTGGTAAGAAGAGTCAAATTACAGAGCTTTGTTAACCCCTACTGAGAAGTTACTTCATTCTAAATGTAAAGGCATTTAAATTCCGATCACAATCCTACATTTCAAAGCACAGGAGCATTTTGAACAATCTAAAGGAATCTCTTCAGAGTTTATCTAACTTATTCTTTTTTCTTTTTTGTTTTTAAGACTATTTATTTATTTAACAGACAGAGATCACAAGAAGGCAGAGAAGCAGGCGGGGGTGGGGGGTGGCGGGGGAGCAGGATCCCTGCTGAGCAGAGAGCCCGATGCAATGCCAGGCTTGATCCCAAGACCCTGAGATCATGACCTGAGCCGAAGGCAGAGGCTTAACCCACTGAGCCACCCAGGCGCCCCTATCTAACTTATTCTTTCTAGAGATTAAAACACCTTGAAGTCCAGCACTGAATCTTTTTTACCTTTTTTTTTTTTTTTTTCTTAGCACCTAGAAGGTGTCTGACATAGCTGGATACTTTTATTGATGCCTTTTGAATGGATGAATACCTTCTAGTTAAAAAGCACTGCAGAGGTAAACACAGGTGTTATGTTTGTGGACTATGTGTGTGTGTGTGTATAATACTTCACTTAAATTTCAGTTTTATAACTTGAATTAATTCTCACATGTGTGTACCTGTTTAGGGGTTATCATCCTCCATTTACATTATAAACTCCTAACAGTCTGCCTTAGTTTTTGCTGCCATAAGGTAGTAAAAGCTAGCTTATAAAGCCAAAAGAAAGGTTGTTCATATGAAGCAGTATTAAAAGGATTCTGTTTTCTATATAGCCCTTGGCAAGGCCTAAAGTGGAACCCTAAAAGGGTACCTGCCCCTGCCTATCACCTCACTTCAAGGACTAGTACAGAACATCTCCATTTCTGCTTTCATAAAAAGTAAAAGTAAAAAAAATAAAAAATAAAACACCTTTCTGTGATCTGCAGAGCCAAACCACAATTTTCCGTGGCCCTCCTGGGTTTTAAGATGACACGCACATTTCTTTATTCACATGTACTCAATTGCCTTTTTGCAATCTGCTGAGCTGCATCCTTGCTGGTCAGTTACCTTGGCAACTCCACAGTAAAGCCTGCTTCTCTGTAAGTATAGTATGCCATTCCCTTTGAGAAAAACATGATATGGACGTATGGCACATTCATCATCGGGAAATGGAAAATGACTAAGCCACTATGTTTTGTTTGTGAAAATAATACTTCATTTCTGTAGCATCAGTTTAAATTACGGGCACATAATTTAGAGAATTTAAATTATGGGCACACAACATTTTAGAGAAGCACCCTTTGCCTTTACCTTCCCCATTTGTTACTTGCAAAACAAATCGCTCTTCAACAGAGGCTATTTGGGCAGTATTTACACCTCGCTTCCTTTTGCAAACAACAAATGACACAGGATTCGAAGTTACAGGCTTTTGTTCTAAACATGAGCTGTATCAACAATGCCGGTATGGTCTGCACCAACAGCAACAATTGCGCTTACTTGGCTAACACGTGTTGCACTCACATGTATCTAAGTAGTTCTCCCAAACAGAAAGCTTGAAGCACATTGTCTTCCTTAAAAGCAAATCTTGACAATCAAATTTAAACTCTAAAAACGCCGCAGTACTAAAATCCAATCATCTCTGAAATATACATGTGTACAGTTGTCAGGCTAATCAAGCTAAGGTCACAGGGTCTGGTCTCTCTGTGTATCGCATGCTTTTGCAATTGTCTACGGCTGCAAATCCATTACCTCTGCAAACACATGCCACTGGATACAAATGAAACTGGAAACCAGTGTGTGGCTAAATCCCGTGCAAATCCATCACCATTAATGGGAAAAACAATTAAACCAAAAATCCAACACCCAGGGGGTCAAAAACACCATCTTCAAACAGTGAGGGTAGCTAGATTTGCAAAGATTAAAAACTGAAGACAGGTAGTCATAAATAACAGGTTTTTTTTTTTTTTTTTTTTTTAGGGAAAAATTACATGTCTGAGAAGAGCAAAAGGGTATATGGGCAAGTGGCCAGGGTGATTATGTCATCCTCCCTAAACGTAGTTCAATGTCCTTCATTACCACGCCACCAAAAACTTGATGAAAACTATTCTTTGTATGTTTTAGTCATGAGGTACAGAAAACTCCAGGCCATTTCAACAATTATGTGACAGCAGAGAGCCAAGAATCCAGTAACAGACAGAGATAGCAGTAGCAATAAAGTGGGACCTCATGTTAGCTAAATAGCATCCTGTCTTCCTTTATTAATAGTCCATTTGAAATTTTCTCCCTAAGGGACCCACATCGTGATGAGCGTGTGCGTTTGAGTGCTTATTTACAATTACTTAAAAACAAAAGCAAATTTGGACGTATTTAGTAAACATTAAATTTTGAAAGGATTATGGTGGTGCATTGCTAATGAATTTATAGCATATAACTTCACAGTTATCACAACGATTATTTTTAATGGCATAGACACGTGCACAGGCACGTACCAAGTCCCTTCTGCACAAAAAAGTCCAGAGAACACTCACCAGACCTTTTCCTGCATCACCAAGAACAAGTACATGGTTGTCAAAGAAACTAGCTGCTGAGTGTGAGACCCTGCAAGTTTCAGCTAGATTTAAATCTCAAAGCTGTCTCTCCACGGAACTCTTTGAGAAGAAAGTCATAAAGTAGCATCGGTATTCCTGTCCGGGTGGGCTCCGTTTGGTACCTATTATGTGCATGTCTCTCTCATAGATGCTTTGTCAACAAATTAATCATTCCAAAATATCCATTTATACAATCACCTGCTAATTTTTAAGGTTTAAGACAGTAAATCCTCACCTTACCACGAACCCCCTGCGCCCCCCAACCAAGAAGGAAACATTCCAGGGAGCGGAGTCGTCTCAAGTAGGGAATCAATCCTTTTCCATGATGGTAGAGGACCATCATTTGGCAC